CTGTTTAGTATGATCCATATATTTAACAGGGGCAAATTATTAAGTACTAAAACTGAGTTTAAACTAAATTAGGGCTGATATCATAAAATAAAAGTACTTACTTATGAAATGAGTGATCCCTAAATTTCCTTTAAACAGAAAACAAACTTGTTCCTTTAAAATTCCATCAAGTCCATAGTTTTTCTATCTTGACTTTAGGAAAATTCAGTATCATGTCGAAGCACAAATTCTAAAAATCTGTGCTAAACTGAACTGCAATAGTTAAGGATATGACTCAAAACCATGCGAAATATATCTTCTGTTTTCCTCTGTATATCTTTGAGTGATCAGTGTTTTATTTTTAACTGTTTTTAACTCCCACAAGGTCTTTATCTCGGTGACAGTACAGTACATGTGAAGACCCAGCCTGACAGAGAACAATAGATTCCACTCTCTTTAGCCCTGTAATGGGTGAGCATTTTAAGCTTAAAACAGAAGAACTGGATGTTTAAATTATGTTCATTTTCTGTAACTCCCTCTTTTATTTAAAAAAGTGAAGTAGGAAGGGAGATGAAAACTAGGTTGATAATAAACAAGGCACAAATTATCAATTTGTGAATATGTTCCCTTCTCAAATAACATACTCATTCATTAAAACTTAAACAGTCGGCAGTCAAAAGTTAAAGATATTTTTGACTGACCACAGTCCCACACCCTTGGAAAACTCACCTTTTCTTTCTCCACTCATCTCTAGTTAGTCTCGAGAAAGAAGGTCATATTCACTGGTCTCATCTTCAGTATTATAAGAATAATACTTACTGTTACATTGATGTGTATTTAAGTCACTAAATTAGGATTCCTGGCTAGGAAATTTGATCCTTGTTCAGAATTAAGGCTTACTGCAATGAAATTTATGTGTACATTTTTCCCAAATAATAAATTAATTTGAACCTAATACTATGCTTTCCATAGCTCAGAAGAATTTGATTTAGTGACTAGAGCTACTGACCTGGATTTTAAAAAATCTATAAAAAAAACTGGTGCTGTGAAATAAAAGACACTAATACAACAAACACTCATTTCCCCCAATGCCTAGTAGTAAACCATATTTATTACTGCTATATTGAATGATTAGATGTCTTGAGTTTTTCCTTTGTCTCCTACACCCAGAAACTTTAGAAATAGTTATGCACTAAACCATCCAGAGTCCATATGATTTATGACCACGTAGCTCAAGCTGTTGAACAGTTAGTAACAATGCAAAATTTTCTGGGTGCCTTTAAAAATATAATGCCATTTTTCTTAATTCTTGCTATGCCCACCAACAAATTATTTAGTTTGTGTGGATGCTCACCACACTGGAGATGTAATACAACATGCAGATAAGCTGAATTCTTCCATAATAAAGTCATCTGTTTGGTTTTCTTCTTCATGTCTGTTTTTAGATTGTTACAGGAGAGTAAAAGGAAAGATGGAATGGAAAAGGGACAGAAACATCCTTTGGATTCCTATAAATAGTCATGTGCACTGATATTGCATGAAGCATACCTGTCACCTTTTATATGCTGTCTACTTTTGGTAGTGTGTAAAAATAAGGTAAAAGCTTGTTATGAGCATAAGTGATAGGGAAGAATCTAGACCATAAATTAGCAACTTACCCTTTCCCATGCTTTAATAGTCCACATAGCATATTAAAATGAGCAAAATGAATCAGTGAGTTTCTTTCCTTACCCTAAATTTATGAGCTGGTATACTATGACTAATTTAGGGCAAAATTTCAGAAATGATTCATTTTGCAGCAAAGCTTTGTCTGTCTCAGTGTACTATTAAGAGTTTTTAAGCCCTTCTGGAGAGCTGAGACTGCACACACAACAATCAAGAGCTTGCAGAGATCTCTGGCTCAAATGCAAAAGTGGGCCAGTATTATCTGCATAAATGATTCTGAGACTGACCAGTGCAGTGGAAGGAGTTGCATGAATTCCCAGGATTATGAACAGTCTCAATGAATTAGGTAATTAAGATACTCTTCTTGAATATTTCTTAGACACATCTGAAAAAAAATCTTACAAATGCAGACCGTAAGCCTGCCTTGAGCACAACTGATACATGTGAAATTTTTTTTGCCTGAGAATCCAAATGTCATGTTTGGAAATGCAAAGAAAACATACATTTGAAACCCCCATTTTATAAAAATATGACTTGATTGCCTTGCCCAGAGAATCTTGGGTTGCCCCCCCACACTCTATCCCCACACCACCCCGAGGAAAAAGAGAATGTGAATGTGGCTGTAGAATGATCTCTTGATCCTTGGGCAAAACTGAGGGAAAAGTCTAACAAATGCATCGTTTTGCAGTAAATTAGATCAGATTTCCGCATCTCCGCACTCAGTCTGTGAGCTGACAGTTCAGTAAAATGTTCCCTTGTAAGGTTCGCCCTCTTAGGAAAAGGGGCAATAATTCATCATTAGGATTTCAGAGTCCAGGTGTAGATAGAAACTGATGGAGCCTCCAGCGAGGCAGGGAAAGTGCATGGAAGAAGAAAATTTTATCTGAAGCCTAATTCCCTGGTTACAGCAGAGAATAATTAAGATAATATTGCTTCAAGAGTCCTTTAATGATTAAAAATCACATATGCAGAATCCATAAATTGGAGGGCAACAAATTGGAAGGCTGTAACGTCAGAGAACTGTTTAGTGCACATTGTAGTGGAAAGTATACTAGTGGCATTGCACCGTGTGGGCAGCCACCAGAGACCGGGACCATTCCAAGGACTTTGTTTAGATGCAACAAATCATTTGTCTGTTATTAACCCAGAGCTTGTAATTATGCAGATTGCCATAGATTTTCCTGGGCCTGGAAGTGAGATTGAGGGTTGTTCACAGTATAGCAGGCAGCTCAGGGCTGGCCATGCATTACTGAACTTGCCACATTTATCATGTTGACTGATGGCAGCAGAAGCAGGTCTCAGGTCCCAGTGGTTAATGTAGTGGGTAATTAACTGTCATTTGCCTAGTAATAGGCTGATGATCAATGGTTTGTGTGGAAACAAATTCTAATCAGGTAGCTGATAAATGCTCAGCTAGAGAGAGCAATTGAAACTGGGGGAAACTATGTCCAGAATTTCAAAATGGCATTGTGTGTGTGTTTAGTAGGTATGCGCAAACTCAGTAAATTCTTAACAATGGCTTTATCTCATATTAGCCAGATTTTATATCCATAAATATATCTATATCTCTGGAATAAAGGACGGCTATGTGTTTTTCCTTGTTGCTCAAAAATAATAAAGAACAGAAGAAGCCAATGGCACACGTAAGTTATGTGACTCCAAAACATATCATGTGAAGCACACTCAAAAGTAAATATTAAATTTTAAAAATGAACTAAAAAATTCTGTTCACAAAATAATAGGATGAAAGCTTTAGTTTGCAAAGGTTTCATTTTTAACGATGCCAGTAAGAGATGGGAAATATTATATTTTCCGTGAAGTTATTTTTTAAAGAGAAGATTATTTCTTAAAATATGGATTTTTAAACTGAAGACAAATAGGTTGAGTTACATTTTTAAGATAAGCATTTCTTAAAGAAGATAAGCATCTGACAGTTTTGAATTAAAGCTTTTCAACTCTAAATCTTACTTACTTTTAGCAAGTCCTCAAGTGTAGGCTAGCACACTGTTTACAAAGCATTAACAGTTTCTTCCCCTCAAGGTGCTTACGTTTTTTTCCAAGAGATGATCTAAGAAAACATGAGGATAAACATGCACTGCACGCTTTGCTGGATATTTAGACACTACCCTCCCAACTCTGTCCCACCGCTATCATTGGCCTGGAGAGAAGAAATATTTAAAACCTGAAATAAACATGCCGGCCTTAAGTAAAGACTTACCTTTGGATTTGCAGAAAGAGTAAGAAGCGAGACTTCGCATGTTTGTGTGTAATTCTTCAATTTAATAAAGTGAAAGGCTAAGTTTTTTTTAAAATGCATTTTTATAACCAAAATGAGTTTTCTCCATAGCACCTTTGAATTCATTAGCTTAGAACTGCTTTTAATTTGTTCTTTCCCATGAGAGCCATTATATTTTTCTCCTGTCAGGCTGATGCTGGAGAAAAAAGAAAGCTGGCAGATGTGATGTTTTTCATCTAGTTTGTTCCCTAGTTAAAAAGTGCATTAACTATTATGCACAAAATACTACTTGTAATAATTCTTCACCACTATTAACAACTTTAAAAGGACTTGGTTAAAATATTGCCAGTGCAAATGTATAAAATATTCTATTCCTTCTCATTATGAAATGATAAGACATTGGATTGTACACTACTTTTAGGTCATTACAATAACATTTTTAGATATCTACAGCAAATGGGATTTTTAAAAGATATTTTCTTCCCAGACAATTCCAATGGTTTTGACAGTATATTATAGCTCAGCTCCTGATCTAGCTATATATAGTTTACGGCCTCATTTACTTTAATGTGCTACCTGAATAACATAATCATAGCTATAACTGTAGTATAGGGTCAGAAAGTTCATGTACCTCTGTGGCTTTTTTTTTTAGTACTTAAATAGCTTGCTCATAAAGGTAGTTTTAATAATAATAGCAAATATCTTAGTATACAGATGTCAAAAAAACAGCAAGTCATTCAAATGGGTTCCTTTTCCAAATAAAATGTTTCATATATAATGTTAAGATCAAAGTTACATTGCTTTTGTATTTATTTTATATGCTAACAAGTAGCTTATTCCTGTAAATTTACCCCTGTTGACTTCTGTTTGTCTGCAATTATTTAAGCTTCCTAATCTATTTGTGCTACCTTTACTTTTCAAGTAGAATGTGATTTTCATCAAGAATAGTCAACTGAGGATGTACTGCAGAAGAACCTTTATATTTACACCTAGGATAAAACACACTTGTCTACATCACAAGGCATTCTGTATCAATAGCTTCCCAGGAAATATTCGTGTCTTCTCTACTCACAATCTCAGATTTCCCTGAGTTTGAAGAAAAACATGTATTTTGTTTTAGGCTGTTTGGCGTAACAGGAAACTGTGCTGCCTGTAGTAAGCTCATCCCTGCCTTTGAAATGGTGATGAGAGCCAAGGACAACGTTTACCACCTGGACTGCTTTGCCTGTCAGCTTTGCAATCAGAGGTGAGCAGGTTTCTTTTTTGGCTTCTCAAAAATGCAAAACCTCTTTCTGCTGGCTATTGACTTAATAGATGACAACTACATGAGTATACTTTACTTAAGTGGTGATTAATCTCGGTGTTTTTGTGTGGTTTGGTTTTGTTCTCTGCAAAAATGCAGTCAGGGCCTGAAATAAGTCATGGAGGTGAAAGGGCTTAAGACTAACTAAAAGAAATGCATCATGAAATAGCAAGGGACTAGACATGGCATACTTAACATTAACTTTGGGGCTCATTAATTATTCTTTTTATTGTTCTTCTGACTTTCTAAGAGTTAGTTTAAAATAGCTTTACTTTTTTGTGTTTCATTTGTGAACAAGCAAATGGGTGGGCACTCAAGCAAACATACCAAAATTTGTAATGAGTATTTTATTTTCCTCTTATTATATTTATGCTTTCTCTTTGTCTTAATCTCTTCTCTGAAATTTTAACCATGTACTACACATACTGTTTTTTATAAACAAATGCTTTATAAGTTGTTTCAAATCTCTGTAGGGATGAGACCAGATAAAGCTAATAATTAAGTAATTATTAGCACTGAAGAGCAGCAATGGAAAAATTTTTGCACAATGAGTCCAGAAATCTAAATTCTAATATGGGCTGTGTCATAAACTGGATGTATGAGCTAAAGTCATCCACTCTACCTTTCTTGATATTATTTTTCAATTGTAATGTAAGGGGGTTGACTTAGTCAATTTCAGAACTTCAACTCAAAAGAATTATAAGTTTAACTAATTTTTTTTCCTATTAAAAATTATGCTTTTATTTCCAGGGAGATATACACTCTTATGTGGTAAATACAGAGACTATTAGAGTATTGTTAAAATACAATATTTTAAAAATTAATATACTTGATGAATTTTAATTAAAATCTCTAAGAATACATAGACATAGTACATAACCCATAATTATTCGTTCAGTTGAGCTCTCAGTTTGTGTGATTTGCCATAGAAAGTCCTGTTCAACGTAAAGTTTGTTTTTTTTTTAACAAGGAGAGTAGTATGTAAAATAGTATAAAAAATATCATGCTTATAATAACAACTAGATTAGCTGTGTGATCTCAAGTATGTTACTGAGTTTAGGCTTTTTATATCTGTAATATAGAAAAACTGATACATGCAAAATTTGAAAATTAAATAAAATAAATTTTATTTAGTACTGGGAATACAGTAACTTTTCAAAAGTAACTTCTTTCTTATTTATAATTTACTTTGATTAAATTGTACTGCACTAACTTGACTTTTCTAAAAGATAAATATCTTAGTAGTATCTCTGGCTAAATGTAGATGATGTGGCCCAGTATATCCTCTGATGTCACCTTTACCTGAATAATAAGAAATAATCTTAAATAGTGATTTTTCACAGCCAATGTCTGAAATCAAAGTAAGTTAATTCAGTCTAAAATGACATTTAGCCAAAAATAAACTGGAAAGTGCATGTTATTTCTAGTAAGAAAATGGATGCACAGATGCAAACATCCACAAACCCATACAGACACATTTATATACATGTGTACAGTGTATCCATATTCATTTTAAAGGTGTAATAATATAAATTTAGAATAGCTTCATTTGCTACATTGTTAGCAGTCACTAACAACACAGTTATATTTATACAATACAAATTGTACTGCTGTTCTACTTATAAAAGCTTACATATTCACAAGAGCAAATTTAGAAAAGAAAAACAATAAAGAACAATATTGTCCCATGTCTTACTATTCTGAAAGAAAATGTTAATATCTCAGTGTATAGCCAACTGTATTTTTTCTATGTATATAATATACTATCTGCTTTATATTATACTCATGTTTAAGCAGCTTTTTTAAAAATAACAAAAAAGAAACAGCGTTTCAAATACAGGCATTTTCATTTACTTTATATTCCTTTTTACCACCATTTAAAATTCTTTCAAAGTATTTTAAGCTATCTTGTGTCCAGTTTTCTAGCTATAGCATCGCATATGATAGCACTCTTCTGTCACTTGATGTATAGCCTATTCAAAAGTTTTTATATTATCAATATAATATGGCTTCTTTAAACAATTCCTGTCCATAATTAATTAGACAAAGAGCAAAACAATTTGAAGGCTTATGTTACACATTGCTGAAATGCTTTCCCAAAAAGCAATGCCAATTTTCTCACAGCAAAATACATACCGAACTGCTAATGCCTCTCATTTGCTGTAACATTGGAAATTATTATTTGTTAAAGAAATTCTTGTCACTTTTAAGGATGAAAATTGGTACCTCATAACAGTTTTTAATTGGCATTTATTTGATTACTAGTGGCCTTTAGTATTTCTTCTTTTAGAGATCTGCCTATTTATATGCTTTATCCATTTTTTTCTATTCGAGAAGGCTTTCCTGTTTTATCTATGTTCAACACAGAAAATGAAAACATCATTCAAGTGCTAAACTCAGCCTAAATTCTATTATGATGCAAAGTAATTGCAGGTGGTTAATGCTATTTACAAATCATCTATCAATTTTATTTTCCTCTTGAAATAAAAAGTTGCATTCACAATTAAATCTGTCTCCTCAGAACTTAGTCAAGTAAGACAAACACTCCTAAATTTTGACTCTAAAACTGCTCACATTCTTATTGCTGCAAAATACTGTTCTAGTATCATTATTAAAGTACCTAATATATTTCTGTGTTCGCTTCATTTATTACATGCCATAATGGACTGCATATCTTTAGTGCTGGTTATGCACAATTAGCAGTTAGTTATTGTCTTGTCACTCCAGCCTCTACAAGACAAACTTCTTTAATGTAAGAAGTCAGCTAATCTTTGTCAAGCAAAGCAGACGAAGTCTGTTACCCTGAACACGGAAAGCTTTCAATACAGGAGACTCTCCTCTCATTCTGCAGTTTGTGTGGGCAGGATATTAGCAAAGCCATAGCCCACACAACACTGTGCTTTGCTGTAGCCAAATCATTATCCCAGTACCCACCTTTCCAAGTAAAGCACGAGGTAAATTAGCCATTTATGGACCTCTTTCCTCAAGCAAACTTTCCTGGCATTGGAAATTGGGGGTGATAAATGCTTTTGACTTTATTCAGCATTTTATCTTAAACTTTTAAAATCAAAATATCAGGAAGGTCCAAAGGCCTTCTGAATCTTTAGAACAGCAACAGCGACAATAACCAGATTTGAGAATTAACTGTCCTTTCTATGGCTCTTTGATTTTTTTCTTAAAGAAGGTTATGACTAAATAGGGGAATCTTAGATTAAAATTGTTAAGTTTTCTCTATTTCAAAAAGAAACCAGAGAAGGATTATTTTGAGCCTGTTTTGTAAAAATCTTTGTCTCATTCAAAATTGAAAAAGGTCCATAAAAAGATGAATATCTCCCCAAAAATTTAGTTCTCTGTCTCTCTCTCTCTCTCTCTCTCTCTCTCTCTCTCTCTCTCTCTCTCTCTCTCTCTCTCTCTCTCTCTGTCTCTGACTGACCAGAGGTATGAGAGAAGCAAAGACTCACAGAGGAAAATAATCAATGTCAAATAGATCTACCTTGAGGGAAGACAGCATCGTTGTTGAGTTTAGGAATGCATCAAAGCGCTGACGTCCTAAATTTGAAGACGGAGATCCCTAGGACTGGGTAGGGTATAGGCAGAGTGTCTGATGGGGACTGGACGCAATGTGAAGGCCAGCAAGAAGTAATATGAGGGTTTTCCAGGCAGATGGCACAGCACGTCCAGACAAGGAGACAGGCGAGCCTGTGAGTTGCTCAGGCACTGAAAAGCAGCTGAGAATGCGAGGTTAATAGTTTGGAAGGAATATGGAGGAGCAGACAGTAGGGCACTCAACCAAGAGGAGATGGAACTGTAAAGGAGAGATGTCACTGAATGAAAGTCAACATACACACAAATTTAAATTATTTCTCTAAAATGCAAGAACTACTTAAAGCTGTTGTGCTCTGAAATAAACATATCAACCAACATTTATGGACAGTGCATTAACCTTAAGTATTAGGGCGTTTATGATAGTACTGAAGAGGGGATCAAAAGAAATACACTTCTTTGGAATTCACCTTAGAACTGTTGTCCAGATTGGGAAACTTGTTATACACTCGTGAGAATATTTAATATGCCAAAGTAGATGATACACCAACAAAAACATGCTTTAGGAAAGATCAGAAGGTGAGAAATATTAATGGAGGAAATGGAAAGCAAGGAATGTTTATAATTTAAGTAGACAGAAAAAAACGAGAAACGTTCCTGTCTAGGGAACAGTGTACGTAATCTTCTCTATAAATAAAAAGATTAACATTAATAAAAACTAGAAAATGTTTATATAGTACTACCTATTCATACTGTTGGCATAAACTAACTCATTTAATACTCAAAATCACCCACAGTTAGGTAGTGTTAGCAATCTAATTATAGGTAAGCACGGTGTCATACAGAAAATCTAAGTGACTTGCCCAAAACTACCCAGTTATTGGAAGACTCAAGATTTGAGCTGGCAAAGTGAGCCTTCACTGTATGGACTCAAACATTTCAAAAGAGGCACCTTATTTTCTGACTAAGAGAATATAAATGGGAAAGATACTAATGTAAGGTTTAGCAGGATTTACAAGTTTAGCAGGATGCAGGGTATGAGTAATGTTTTTTGGTAGAGAACAGATTGGTAGGAAGGAGACAGAATGACAACTGGACTGTCAATAGGGAAAAGACAGTGAATCTGTCCACAAGTACCATGGTGATAGAAAGAATATATGACCTGTACCCCTCACTAAAAGTACTACAGGCCATCTTTTAATAGCTGTGGATGCTAGATAGAGATACTGGAAACGCATCTTAGGTTCCCTCTTCTTTTCGAAGTGTTATAAAAATAGAAAGTAGTGATAATTGGCTGCCACTAATCTTCAGCAAATGACTAAGTTAACACTTTCATTTCTCAAAAGTTTGTCCCCAGAAAAGTATGTTGTGACTGGAGGCATTTTAGCATAAGCTTGTGATAACTTACCCAAAACTGCTTTAAGCCCCTTATCTTATAAGATTCATTAATTATGCTTATGTACTATAGTCCTCAAATTTCTTAGATCATATAAATTGAACACAACTATCATCACCCTGTAAATAAGACATATTCTTAATTCTAAAACATCGAGACTAAGTCATTTAATAATCTAACTAAATACCTTTTATATTCCTTAACATTTTTAAAATGAGGACAAAGCTAAGCAATATGACCATATCACAAACAATTAGGATTAGATTACAGGGAAGATTTTTACTTTATTTTCAAGAGCTTTAGTCTGACCTATACATATACCATCCTCTGGCCATCTTCACTTTACTATATTTAAATATAATATATTAACATGTGCTCTATAATATATTTTAATATGCATTATATAAAACAGGAAATTAGTCTTTCTTACAAAATCACTTTGTAGATTGCTTTAAGCACATAATAACTACATTGCTATTTCTCTAATTTCCTTGTGTTTATATGTGGAGGATTTTTAAGAAGGATGCCAATCTTAATTGCATACCAATCATAATCTGTGCTTAACCACAGCTGTCAACGCTGTTTCTTTTCTCTAGCTGTAAGTGCGTGACATTCTTACCCGTGTTCTGTTTCACCTTGACCTTTAAGTTTAAACTGAAAAGCACATAAAACGTACTTTATAGCTGACAGCATATTAGCAAAATATTTTAGATAAGTATATTTCCTCTTCCTCTCTCAATAAAGAAACTCATTTGAAAAGCATTCCATAAGATGTGCATGAGATCTCTCACATCTCATTGTATGGTTGGCAGACTCGCTGAAAGTTATGCAAAATATTAATAAATAATAACAATAATACAGAAGCTTGAATAACTGTTCACCCTTCACATTATACTTGTAGTCACCATGCTGTACAGCTTGGTTGTAAAATTTGCTTCTTGAATCCAAATAGGCCTTGATTATTTTTCTTCCTCTACTACATATAATCAAGGCATAGAATCATGGGCAAAAAAACTTCTTTTAAATTTGTGACAGAGTCTCATGTTTTTCTTCTGCAAAAAGCAGTGATAATACTTTCTAGTTTGTATTACATATAATAAATGTGAGATGAATCTTTAACTTTTTAAAAAGCATGTAACAGTACAAGACATATTGCCCTCATCCCCTGCTCACTGAGAACACACTTATCTCTCCATTCTTGCCTGGTCCTGAAGTGGTCTTGGAAGTCCTGGAGTTTGCACTGTCAGGACTGCTTTGACTCAAAAGCACTGACTCATTAGTATGTTTTAGTACCAGGGATTGAACTCACAACCTTGCACTTGCCAGGCAGGCACTTGTGCCACTGAGCTAAATCCCCATGCTGTCAAAGTGTTTCACAGTCACTGGGACTTTGAGGAAGAGCCAGAAGTCACCCAGTGCTAGATCTGGTGAGTAAGGTGAATGAAGACGTACCATAACATTCTCCCTTGACAGAAATCACCATAAGTGCTTTTAGTCAACATAGGGCACCAAGATACCATAAAAAAGCACTCACAGAGGAGAACTTGCAGAGCTGCTCAGAAAGTGAGAAAAAGGTAGGATCAATGTGTTCAAAGTGAGAGGAAGGACTTTGAAGGGGATTAATGGCAGTGTGTCTTTTACAGAATATTCTTTTAAATTTTAATTTAAATATTCACTATATTTTTATCATACATATCTAGAGTTCGTATACAGTAAGTAATTTACAAAAGATGGCTACTTTACCTATATTCCAAGAATTGTGGTGAGATTTTACATACTTCATTTCCGTTCTTTGCTATAAACTTACAAAAATGACTGATACTACCGATTAAAAAAATTGAAGTTTAATTGTTACTTATCACAGGAAGCCTGGGATTTGAACCATGTTCATTGTATGCACCTTCTGCCTTTCACATACGTTTTGATTGAACATTTATACTCTAGCGCTGTACCTAGGTTTCTCTTACAGGAAAAGTATGAAATACCCCTGCCTTGTTTGGGGTAGGTGATAGTGACAGGATTTGAGGCTAGATCCCCCAGCTCTTGGTTCTATATTGTTATCACTGTAATTACCTTGAACCTACTCATGTACAAATACAAATGTCCCCAATTTCAAGGTGTCTAACAGCAAGATAAAAATGGCATGATATGACATGACATGGATTGATATGACCATGTTTTATTTGATGACTAATGGAATTTGAGTGCTTAATAGTGAATTAAAGCAAAATGTAAGACAATATAAAATTTAAAGAGTATTTCCAGATTAGCTGTTAGGAAAAATGATTCAGTAACATCAGCTGGGAAACACAAGTATTTCATTAAATCTATTTCTGATGGGTTTTCTTTATTTCTTGCTGGTTGAAATTAACAGTAATATGAATTGATGATTTTTATTAATATGCTATATGCTATCTTATATAATTCCACGTAAAATAAAAACATGTAATTTAGCTACTGAAGCCAGTCCAACACTACAAATATTTTCATTTATTCAATCTGTCTTAGTGATCAGTATTACAGACACTGGTTTATCCAATCACAGGTATTTAAATGCAGCATTCAAAGCACATAATTGACAACTAACATAAAGAAAATACACTTAAAGTTCCAAACATAAATGTTTATTGTGTCCAGTAGCTTTGGCCAGAAGCAACTCCAGGATTTCAAGATCAGTGCATACTCTGTACTTTCAATCAACATCATCAGCAGGCAGTAATCCAGGGGAAAAAAGTAAATTCCACAAATAAACAGACCAATTTTCCTTTAAGAGGAAAGCTAATTCTTTTCAATCTACTTTTTTTATTACACTATTTTCCCCTACTTAGCTAGTGTAAGGATAAATTTCCAAAGCTACCCAGTTGGAAAATAAATAGGTTCACTGTTTGTCTAGCATTCCAATCTTTGCAAATGTAAATCAGTCCGACTGTTTCTCCTTTAAACCTTCAACTTCACAAAACATTAAAGGGTGGCTTTCATTGCACAATTTAATCTGTCCACTAAGATTTCTGCCTGAGCATCATTCGAAATTGACTATCTGATGAAGAGAGACCACTATCAAAGATCAGCGAGGTCAACTTGTATAATTACAAGGAGTTTCACGGGGTCAACTCTACCAAACACCACTGTTTGAAGGTTAAATTGTGACAATTAAATATATATACAGATCTTCCCAGAGTTACTTTATTGTTAAATGTACTGGAAACAGCCCAAGCATTTATTTCTGCCCTTAATTGTGTCCAAAGTATCTCCCATTGAGCAATTATATAAAAAGACCATTTATTAAAAATACTATAATCTTGCAGATAAACAATGCCTTATAATATAAAATGCATAATTAACTACTACTAACTACTTTTATTTACCACATCCGTATTAAAAAGTTCTCGCAGGTTACTTCTTTTGGTTTACTTGGAAAGGATCCAAGAAATGTCATCTACTATTTCATAGTTGGTGAATTTGTCCCAAACAAAGGGATTGAGCTCAGCATCAGAGTCTGATGGGAAAGCAGGCTTTCCTTCAGAATGAGCACTTCCAAATTACCAGAATGGAATCTTATTTTAACTACAGAGTAAAATAAATTTTTAAGTAGGAATTTTTAGAATTGGCTGTTTTTTAATCATTTGCTTCATTTGAATGCCTTTTATATTTTTATTAAATGGATAAATGACCAGTGATGAAATCTTACATAATCAATCACAGCAGAGAAATATAATTATCTTTCTTCATTTTATTTGATTGCATGTAAATAAAGGTCTGTTACTTTACTTTTTTCTTTACAATCTATCAAAATAAAGATAAAGAAAAAAATGGAAGGAATGAAAACAAATCACCCTTTGTGCCCTCAAAGTGTTTACCCTGATGTTCCAATAGTTTTTATATATAACAGTGGAATCTCAAAGGTTGTTTGCAGTGTCCCATTAAATGAACTAAATGGTTTTAATTTTGATAATGAAGGCCACTTCCTAAGTCAAGCTTTCAAATTGAGAAAATTACCATGGGAAACTCTTATTAGGAATATAAGTCTTCAGATCTATAGATCTGAGTGAAATAGTCTTAACCCACTTTATTTTTTAATATTTCCAGATTTTGCGTTGGAGACAAATTTTTCCTAAAGAATAACATGATCCTTTGCCAGACGGACTACGAGGAAGGCTTAATGAAAGAAGGTTATGCACCCCAGGTTCGCTGATCTATCAACATCACCCCATTAAGAATACAAAGCACTACATTCTTTTATCTTTTTTGCTCTACATGTATATAAGAATTGACACGGGAACCTACTAAATAGCGTAGATATAGGGAAGCAGGATGGTTATATGGAATAAAAGGCGGACTGCATCTGTAAGTAGTGAAATGGCCCCAGTTCAGAGTCGAATGTTTATTATTAAAGAAAAAAATGTAATGTACATATTGCTGGATTTTTTTGCTTGCTATTCGTTTTTGTGTCACTTGGCATGAGATGTTTATTTTGGACTATTGTATATAATGTATTGTACTATTCGAAGCACAAATGTAATACAGTTTTATTGTGTTACCATTTGTGTTCTGTTTGCTTCTTTGTATTGTTGCATTTAGTACAATCAGTGTTTAAAATTACTATATATTTATGCTTTCTGTATCTGCCAGCTATTTTAAATGAGCTGTGACTTTCTAGTAAAGAGTTGAAGAGCAAATCTCACTACTGATACACAGATAAAGTCGATTAACGTTTTAAAAATACTAAAAAAAAAATAAAGACACACAAAACATTTTAGTGACATCCACTACTTATTAATGCCACTATGATTTAGAGTCTATCAGTGTTCTCATTATGACCCCCTATTTTCAGGGGGTTAAAAATCAGCTTTAAAAATGCATAAAATTTTCATTGTAAAGCACTTTCATTTTATACCAACAGAAAAGTGCCATTTTTAGAATTTCTTTAAAGTGTAAAAGTTATCCTCTTAATATCATTTGTGTGTTACTTACCTATACAATAGCTTTAGTTTGTTTTATCAGCAACACCACCTATGTGAACTAGTGCCTTTGGGTATCATATAAAATTTTTCCAAAGGGTTACTTTAAAAAGTGTTACCACAATGATGGGATAATTTTAAAATGACAAACTAAACTTCTTGTATAAACATTGCCTGGATCTTTGCCCAGGAGCTAGGTTTTATTAAATTTATTACTTAATCAATTTATGGCACTGAAAAGATCTGAGTGTGAATCTACTGAAATCATGATAACATGCATTGAAGCTCTGATGGTATTTAAATAGCGAAGTTACAGCAATGCAATGCTTATAGAATGTTCTAGAAGTGAAACAAAGGGACGGATTAAGAGCTGAGAACTGATGATTACCTATTTTTCTGTATTTATTTGCCATTTATTTTAATGTTCAAACAGTGAATACTTGGAGTTTGTTATATTGTCCTTTCTCATAGCTTTAAGTAATTATCAATTCAGAATAATTACAGTTCAGCTGAAATTCTGTCGTTCTAGTTTTGAAAGGTTAAACGTTATCCCTGCATCTAAACAATGCTGATAAAGGAAAGATCTAGACACAGAGATTATAGAAAATGGTTATTTAAGTAACAGGAATTAAAAATGGGAATATAATCACCTCTTCTGGTGGCTCACACTTGCCTAATGCTACTTATGGTGGAAATAAAATACTCAACAAACCTAGGTCTAAATAGTCACATTGAGTTGTATTTTTCTACAGCAAACTCAGTGCTGTGGCTTTTCTTTATTTTCTTTTTCTTGATCACTTAGGAAACAATATCTCTCACTGTTATTTGTATAATTGTTTTTCCTGACAATGTATGCAATACCCATGACAATTAGATGTTATTCCTGAATCCTGGGTTTGGGGCCAAAATATAAAGCTGAAAATAATGCTGATGTAAATTTGAGTTGTTTCAAAGCAAGGCTTTATGATGAACATGCATGAGAATCTAAACATTGCCTCTTATTTAAACAAAAAAATGGTTCTGTGAGGTATGTGAGAATGATGTGTATTTTTACAGATGCTTCACGGTTAAGAGTGTTGAAGTCACATGTCTCCAAAATTTGAGCTATATTGAAGAAAGAATTTTAAAGCCAGCCATTTGGGCCCACCAAGTACTTACTATTTTAGCCTTTGAGCCTTACACTAACTTACAAATAAAAAACAAAAATCAAGGGGGAAGAAAAAAACCAAGGAGTGATTTCTTATAACAGCCCTGCTACTCTGCATTAAGAGTTGCATGTAATCCATAGGAATGTAAACTTTGTCAGTATCTTTTTCAAATGATCTTTTTCAAATTTAAATGGTTTTGCATATATGTAAAAAAAAACTAAAACTTGTAAATTAGGAGCAAAATTTCCCAGCTTCTTGAAGCTGCTCAACTATCTTGCCGCTCCAAGACTTGATGAGACTTTCAGTTTCTTCTTTTGTTTAATTCTTTATGGATTAATTTTAATACTTTTTACTCCCCAACAAACTTAAACATCGGTATTAAAGATTAAGCCTTAATATGTTTAGATCACCTTTAATTGCCATGAAATTGTAAAACAATACAGGAGTAGATTTTCCATTGTAGGCTATTTTACAGCTAATTGCCCATAAATAGTAGCATTTTGACCTGAAGTCCTAAGCTCATTTTCTTGACTACTCACAGCCCCTTAATTGTTGTCAACTTCCCCCTTTGTGTTGTGTAGCCCTGACATCACTGAGCTTGTTACCCTGAGCTCCACAAGGAGACCTTCTCTGAGCCCTGAGTGGAGCTTGATTTTCTCAAGCAGCAAGAGCCCACCTGACCTTGCTTTCCTACAGGCTGCTTGTGACACAGGAAAGGCGATCGATCTCCAGTTCACCATCTTGCTGAGTTGCAAAGCTGACCTGTGTTTGTAATTTCACTTTCATCTTGCTTAATAAATATCTGCTGGCTTCTTTCATTCACTTTTTAATATTCGAATGTATGTTTTTCATAAAAGGGGTGTTCTGCTACTTGATTGCACTTAACTGGCAGATCGAAAATGATGTCTAGAAAGTCTACATGGAGTCCATGAAAAAGGGAGAACACTGTGTGAGAACACTGGCCTTCTAGAGTTGAATTCTAACAAGCGCATAGAAAAGGTCGCTCAGACACTGCCTTCAAATACTGTAGTATGTTTTGAATGTCTGAGATAGGTGGTGCATTTACTTCTGTGGGGAAGATAAAACTATAAAAAGCGATCATAGTGATTGCTGGATATCATTTTTGCATATTTATACAAATTTTTAATGATCCTTCTGAAAGCCATGGGGTTGCTGTCATCAGACTAAATCTAAAATTTATAATAAATTGTATAATGAATTAAATTATACATTAAAATTAAAACAAAAACTTAATCCCACATTTTCAACAGCCACATGGCGTGTCTTAATTGATACAGGGTGGTGAAAATTATATCTGTAGCAAAACGTACCATGCACAAGTGGTTTCATTTTAACTATCACTTTAGGCAAATCGCTCTCAGAATAATCAGTTAAACAATTGCACAGAAATGATATAGGCCAACCATGTTTAGTGTTCACTTCAGTAAGTTGCAAAAACAATCTACATGTTTATTGTAATAGGCCATTAGCACAGAATACAATTTTAGCAAAGCTTTTCATTCATTACTTTTCCTTAAAAACACCATTACAGATGTTTTTAAAAATGTGATTTTAATGCAATTTAGCATAATAGAAGGCAAAGGATTGATAGAACCATTATTTCAATTGACATTTATTGAACTCCTACTGTGTGGCAGGACTTGCCTTGAGCACTCAGATACCTACAGGCACAAGTAGGGCATTTCATGCATCCAATGACATTAATGTATCTTTGTATCACTTTTGAGCTCATCACAAACCTATTAATAACGAACGCACAAATACGAACACTATCTTCTACCTATTCAGCATGTCACTGGTGTGGAAGTCCCAGAAAATATCTCAAGTTATCAATGTATTCAGAGAATTATCCCACACAAATTACTCATTAACTCAATAGCACATAATAAAAAAGAACATCAATTAATTAATGAGTCACCCTCAGATTGCTATGATTACAATAGAGCTCTGTGGAAACAGCAGTTATAAATGGAGCTGCCTTTCTTTATTCATTGTTTGCAATTGGCCCATTATTTGCCTGCAACCAGTGTCATATTTAACACATGGCTGTAAGTGATTGTGTGATGAGTATCACAAATAAAGAATTTTGAAAGTTTACTGCTTATAAGACTCCAGGAAAAAAAAAAAAAGACTCACTTTTACTATAGTTTCCTTTGAAGCCAAGCTATTAAATGGGTGTTATCTAACAGGTATATTTATACACTTATAATAAAAAATGTAAGACTTACATATTGAACAATAAGAGTTAGTGCTAAAATACCAACAAGTAAATTTTACAATTCTTTTGTACACACATGATTTAATTTCAGCAACCTTGTAAAGACTAAAATATATAACTGCCAATTTTGCTATTGTTTTTTTACACTTAAAAGGACACTTTGGGTGAGCTGGGTTAGGCTTGCATTGGGGACTGACAGCGATAGGAGATGGGATTTAAAGAAATACCAAATGTTACACACAAAGTTACCAACTAAACTTCCCCAACTATCTGGTAAATGCCATTCCAGTAAGCATGTAGAATAATTACAACAGTTCCCTTAGGTAAGTGAGAAACATCTGTTGGTAACACATAGCAGGTGTTAACAATTACACATACTGAACTTTTAAAAAATGTTTTTAATTAAAAGAATTCTGTTTTATGAGAAGAAAACTGTTAAATTCAAAGATATTCCTGTTTTATGTGTCCAGATCACGTAAAGCACAAAATTGTAAAGCCCAAATCATCTTGGATCATCTATGTTTTGTGTTTTGTTCAGATCATTGCAATCAGAAGTGAATTAGAATTCATTGCACTTTTTACACAGTTGATATTCTGGGTTGAGCAGCTGAATACTCATGAAATTGAAATAGCAGAGCTGATAACAGAATATTTTGGTTTTATGGGCAAAGCGATTGCCATTATCTCTACCGAGTTGAGTAGACGCAGTGTAAAGCAAAATAAAGGGACAGACTTTCAGGTGACACATATACAACTTTTTCTTTTAAGACTGTCCCTAGAAGGACTTTAAATCACCTAGAGTAAACAGTACTTTTCTAAAATGAAACATTATCACATGACCCATCTTCAGTAGCTTTTAATAATAACTCACTTTGACTGAATACTTGCTGTCTATTGAGTAACTTTCTACAGCCTTAGTATTTACACAACAGTCCTATGACACAGGTCTGATCACCTTTATTTTATTGATTTTTAATTTTTAAGCTTCATTTTTGAGATAGGGAAATGGTCATACCATCTTACCCAGGCTGGTTTCAAACTTGCGATCTTTTTACCTCCACTGGGTCTAAAAGCATGTACAAGCACTTGGCCTTCCTAATTATAAATAAGAACATTGATGGGTTACTTAACTTGCCTCAGGTCAAGTGGGGAGATGGAGATGGACCTGAGACTTGAGATTTAAACACAGGTTTGCTGGGTCTTCACTACTCTACTTATATGTTCTTGTAAGGTTGTTATTATTATCATTATTTATTTATTTGGTAGTCTCTGGGAATAGCCAAGAGCTAAAAGGATTTACCTATGCTTGAGAAAAATCACTATTTCAGAGTTAATATCATCATTTAAGGAAACTGGAGGATGACTGATCATCTTTTCTAAGATGCAATCTGTTTGAGAGTTTTCCCTTTTCAACCACATCAGGAAGGCATTTGTTTGCACGTATGAATTGAGGGTATCAAGAATAGAGGACGCGTTAGCACAGTAATACTGAGATCAGAAGTAAATGGGAATAGAATGCTGTCATTTCCACATCAGACCAAACATGCGGTAGTGAGGTGAGGCTAGATGAGTCTCCAAAATCAAAATAAATAAATGTACATACTATCTATTTGTGACATTTACTTACTTAAATAAGATGAGATAGGCCAAGATTAAAGTCCCTAGATTAGCAGTCCTTATCGTTTTGTTTTTACTGGTATGAGTTGCACAAGTTGTAAAAGATGCTAAATCCAAGTCAGTACCATCAGCTATGAAATTTTGTCTCAAAATTGCAATGATGAGCTGGGTATGGTGGTGCGGAACTTGGTGTAATGCCAACTTGAGAGGCTGAGGCAAGAGGGTCGCTGTGAGTTTGAGACCAGCCTGGGCTGCACAGTGAGTTCGAGGGCAGCCTGAACTGCAAACTGAGACCTAGTCTCAAAAAGGCAAAAATAAATAAATAAATAATTTAAAAAATTATAATGATAGGTCAAAGCAAAATGCAATTATTCACCTCCACACATTACCCTAAAGGACTCAAAATTCTTCCCTCCACTACTATGACTGCCTGCTACCATTGCCATCAACACCTCCAGGTACTGGGGCCATTTGGAATTTACATGACTTCAGACTAAGAGGTCCTGATGGGAATTCACACCACACAGGAGGGTCTCCATGTTTTCAATACATAACTCATACTTAAGGAGTTTAGAGCTTTGATGATCATGGAGAAACATTGTCAAATTGGGTTCCATACAAAAATGTTTTCTTCTTCAATCTGGATGACACAGTGGAAGCCCCAGGAACCTTCCCTTATATGACAGCTTACTCAAGAATCCTTAAGAATTTCCAGTGTTAGGACCAGATTTGAAGGAGCAGTTGGATTGTCTAATATTTGAATTTGGTACCACCAGTAGCAAGGAGAAGCCTCAGAAGCTACACCAGAGGCAGTTACTGATAGATGACAAGAAAATATCAGAGAAATATCCCTTGTTGGAAAGATTCAGGTAGCATAATTTACAAAATCCCTGGGCATTTACCACATGCATAGTGCCATACCAGGCACTTCTAAATTCTTTGTGTCTGAGACACTTTGATGCATGAAATATAATATTCACTGCTATTTATTCTTTGTTTAATGCTCAATTTATTAAACATACCACTCTACCAAATACAATTCTCTACACATTTGTACACCATTTAAACAGTTAATAAAGCAAAACTTGTAAATTTAATAAGTCAGATTCAACCATTTAAACATTGATTAGGATCTTAGTAAAATTCTTTGAAACATTTCAGTAAAATCCCGTATACACTTCAAATCTTTAAAATTAGACAAAATTTCTAAGTCAAAATATATTTAAGGTCATAAAAAAGTTAATTTAAATTAATATTTTCCTGTTTCACTCATTAGTTCTCCACGATTTTATGAATAGTCATTCCTTTACGAAGTTAGAAAATGTTGTCTCAAGTAAGTGAGGTTATTGGACTTACACATCATCTGTGTGCAACTTGATTAGAGCACCAGAATTAGCTATTCTGTATAAACAAATTCAAATTTAAACATCAATTTAGACAATAATTTTTTTGTTGTGTCTTTGATACCTGGGATTGAACTCATGACCTTGTGCATGACAGGCAGGTGTTTGCGCCACTAAGCTAAATCCCCAGCACGCTAGACAATAACTTAATGGTCATGATTCCCTTGTTATATCAGTGCAATTGTTTTTGTACTGGGGATCAAACTCACAAACTTCCAACTTGTCAGGCAGGTCCTTGTGCTGCTGAGCTAAATCCCAATCCATCAGGGGAAATTTTTGAACTTCAAGTCCTTTATACAGGTTGGAAATTCCTGTATAATACTATTTTTCCAACTTGTCATGTGTGCTAGCAACCCTGAAAACTTATATACGCCACATTAGCATTAATAGAAGATACAGTATGTAATTTAGAGTTTTTTATTACCTAAGAATGGAGACTTGAAGTTATGCAGTCAAGTTTTTCATTAGGACATTTGACTGTTTTCACACAGACCATGTGCCGATTAACACTTTGTGTTCTTGTGATGGTTGGACTTAATTCTCTATATCTAATCTTCTTTACT